AAACATAATTTCTTGATTTTCCCCCTTACCAGAGGGAGCCCCCTTTTGTAGTATTGTGAAGCCATTACCATGGCAACTCCACTGTGGTGTACAGTAGAAGCGATTTTATGGCAGTACAGTATAAGCCATTTGAAGGCACAACAGGCTGTATCATAACAGAACACACCCCAAGGGGTGTTAGGGGTGTGTTACCCCCACAGTATTTGTCTCCAGAGAATAAGTCAGCTGTGTACCAAGTTTGGTTGAAATTGCTCGGGATGCTCCAGAGTTATGCTTGAACACACACACACACACAGCCATTTGTGTGTGTGTGTGTGTGTATAAAATAAAGAATATTAATCTCATTTCATGCTATTTACTTGTAACCTACTATGAACACAATGAATGGGAGAAGAGCTATCTTATCAATGATCACATCAAAATGAGTGAAATAATAGCAGGTTCAAAACTGCTATAATCTAGGCTCCACAAATGCAGATGTTACAGAATAACGGAAGCCCTTAATATGTGATTCAGCCATTGCAGTAATTGCCCACAAACAACAGGTGGCACAGGCAGTTGTTGTAGTTTGTCAAATAAAAACATTTCAATAAAATAGTGGGAAAACTGCTGTTAAGCAGCAACTGAAAGATGGTAGAGTCAAATCAAATTATTTCATGCTGTCAAGGTAAAAGACAAAAGTCCTTTTCATATTTAAATGGTTGTTTCAATGTGGCTGGTCAAATAAGGGAGGAAAGCTGAAAAAACAATGTTCTCATAAAGACTTTAGAAAATATGTTCAGAATGAAGGTAGAATCAAGACACAGAGTAGCTTTGTACTTAGCTACATAATGTACAATGAGGCAATTCTTTAGAAGCAACTAGTTTGCTTGGAAAGAATATTGGCATATTTTGAAGATGTAACAACTGTCCAGAATATTACTTTAAAGGGTAACCTATGGAATGAAGTGATAGTTAAAGAGTTGAACAGTGAAGACAAGTTGAGACAGCAGCAAATAGTCTTTCCATTGTGGGTGAACTTTGATGCCAGAAAATAGATGTGACAAATTGACATGTAATTTGAGGATTAAAAAAGTATAAAATGTGAGAAATCCACCATCATGTCTTTGCAAGACTGATAATCACCAAATAATTTTAGTGAATATGAAGATTTTTCTTTTTTAAGAACAAAGAAATTGTGAAACTAATTCCACAGAGCAAAACACAGACACTGGCTCTTTACAGCTTTTAGGTAATTCAGATAGCCCACTCTACCTTGTTAAAAAGGCATAGCATTGTTTCCAAAGAAAACTGTCATTTGTACAAAGGTAATCATATGTAACTGGCTAATTTTCCAAGCCATCAGTCATAGCATTTGGAATCTTGGATGGTGCATATGGCTTCCACCTGAGAATACTGTAGGGGATTCTTGTCAAGAAAATTATGTTGAAACTTGCTCTTGGCTAAATGCAATAGGTCTGTGCAGATGATCCTGTCCTAACAAAGCTTTGTGATTATCCTTGTGAGCAGAAGAATCACAGGATACACTTACAATAGAACGCCTGTCCAGTTTGGAAAAAAGAATGCATCTGAGAGAGAAACAGGATGCTTTTGAGAATTACTGCAATATAGTATACTGTATATCAATGGTTTTGAACATTCATAAAATGATCATTCCCAAACCATAAAAAATTCTGTCAAAGAAACACGATTGCAATATCAAATCCTGTGCCACAGTCCAAATATATCTGAACATATATGCTACAACAATTCATCTTTAAGGAGGTGAACTACTATTAAAAATGTGCTCTGAAATATACCAGCGCTAGGGTAGACTGCATTAGTGGAGTTCCTCTGGGCTAGGCTGGAGTGTAACAGTAAATCCTTTGTGTTTATAGACCTCTGAGGTTATAAATATGAGGAAGGATCATAAAGTTATATTTACCATCACTTTAATAACTGCAAATGTCTCTGAATGAGGCCATTGCTAAACAAAAACTACCTACCCTGTTTCCCCCAAAATAACACCTCCCTGGATAATAAGCCCAACTGGGCTTTTGAGCGCATGAGCTAAAATAAGCCCTCCCCTGAAAATAAGCCCTCCCAGAAAATATTGCAACACAGCAATGAGCTGACCATGCTCACCATCTTCTGCACCTCAAAAATAATAAGACCTCCCCGAAAGTAAGACCAAGTGCTTATTTCAGGGGTCAAAAGAAAATAAGACCCAGTCTTATTTTGGGGAAAACAGTATATGTTTCTTATTCTTTTCCTTTTAATTACAAACTGCCCAGAGTTGCTGAGGAATTGGGCTGTTTCTTTCTTTTTCTTTTAAGTTTTATTGGATTTGTATATATCAGTATCAAGACATGAACAATATGGCCTCTGGGTATAATTCATTTTGATACAAATAGCAATAATAATAATAATAATAACAACAACAACAACAACAACAACAACAATAACAACTTAAAAACAACAAAATCATAGATCGGCTAATCAGAAGATATAGATTGGATACAAGAAACATCAATGAAGCTGTAGAGATTGTAAAACAGCAGATAACAGCAACAGCTGAAATATGAATTCATATTTATTTGCATATGTAACTTATGAATAAATAAAAACAAATATACCATACAAATTATGACATCTGCTCTTAGGAGGATGAGGAAACCTCACGTATACAGCCATTACGTTTAAATTGTTGTAAATGTCTGTTAACACTGTCATATATCCAAAGGATTTGTTTAAATATGTTTTATTTTGTACATACCCAAATTGCTACTAATTCCAAAATACTACATTGTAACCATGTAAGTATTGCTTTTTATAATAGAATTTTATTTTAACTATGCCTGAAGTAAGTGTAGATTTTGAAACTGAACTATTATTAAAGTGTTGTGATACCATTACTATAACTGAATTAAAGAAAACACTGATGGTTTTTGTGTCTTTCTGTAGGAAGCTTACTAGATTTCCTTAAGGAAGGAGAAGGAAAATATTTAAAGCTTCCACAACTGGTTGATATGGCTGCACAGGTACTTATTAAATATATATTGATTACTAAAACTTTCCAATATTACAGCCATTGACTAATATAGAAAAGGCTAAAAGTGGTTGCCATGCTGTCAAAGGTCTGATTATAACCATAAATCTTCAGGTGGTCCATCTCTATAGGGTTGTGCCTGCATCTTATGACATTTTGGAACATTCTCTGGTTCAGTGTTTTTTGTTGAGAAGATTCTGTAAAGCAGAAATTTTTAAAGTTTTTGCCATTACACCTTCCCTTCAGTACAGGGGTCTCCAACCTTGGCAACTTTAAGACTTCTGGGCTTCAACTTCCAGAATTCCTTGAAGTACACAAGTCTTAAATTCCTTGAAGTACACAAGTCTTAAAGTTGCCAAGGTTGGAAACCCCTGCCTTAGTATAACTTTAATATACACAACTCCCCTAAAAATCTAAACATCAAAATGAATACAAATGAACAATGAAAACAATACAATGAAACTTTGGGAAAGGTAGATTTTTTTTGTAACAGTGTAACTATAAGGTACTTCACATGTTCCCTGGACATTGTCTGCACCTCCCCAAGGGAATTACACCTTGGAAAAGACTCAACTAAAGTGTCTGCCCATACTGAACTCCTCAGACTGCCAGTATGGTCAAAGAAAGAAAGTATCCCTGCAGTGGGTAACATGGTGAATCAACATGACAGATAACATGTAAGCAACCTTTTGTTATCAGTTGTGGCTTTGTATGGATTATAAGTGTTGGGCCTTTTTTAGAAATACTTATAAATAGTGGCAGTAGCAGATAATCATTCCAAGATTGTAGATTTCCAATGAGTGTCTTTACTGCAAAGCTAATAAAACCAACATGAATCCAGTACTCAGTTCCACTGACTACTATGTGCCAATGCAAACCCTATTTATAGTGAAATCAATGTTTTGTGTCTTGTGCTCACATGTGCACAGTGCAATGGCTCCCAAATTCTCTCTTTTGCGCAAGTAACATAGTTTCTACTTATTACTCATTATGGGAATACTAGTCGATAACCCAGAGTTGCCCAGGTATTTATTTATTAGAGGAAAATGTCTGGACCAAACATAATTTCTTGATTTTCCCCCTTACCAGAGGGAGCCCCCTTTTGTAGTATTGTGAAGCCATTACCATGGCAACTCCACTGTGGTGTACAGTAGAAGCGATTTTATGGCAGTACAGTATAAGCCATTTGAAGGCACAACAGGCTGTATCATAACAGAACACACCCCAAGGGGTGTTAGGGGTGTGTTACCCCCACAGTATTTGTCTCCAGAGAATAAGTCA